GGCCGGCCGCGGACAGAGGTTGGCGGCGGACAATGGCTGGCAATGGTCGACGGCAGAGGCGACTGGCTGCACTGGTGCTGACTGTGGCATAGATTTAAGAAGAAGAGAATGGACTGCCCACTGAAATTTTAGGGGCTGCCGGCGGCCATAGCGGCCGGCCGCCGGCAGACAGCAGAGACCCCAGAAGAAGATCAGAGAACCTGCTCTGATACCATGTTGAATATAGTGAAAAACTATATTTGGATTAATCTTGTGTAAAATACACACATAGGGTTCTCTATTTATAATAGAAGAAATATCGGCTAAGCCCAAAATACAAATGAGAAATAATAACAAGCTAACTAAAAGATAAAAGATATAATATATCTAACATGACCTAAAAGTTGATTTTATTTATGGAAGAAGTTTGATTCATTTTACCTCTTTAATTTCCCCCCATCTATTCAGTACTGCTTATTGAGGACTTTGTTCTAACTGTGACTCAAAATGCAAAGTAAAGCCAAATAAATTATTACTACCTCTGTTCTCATTTATAAGAAAAAAAGTCACAATTTTCTTGTTCTCAAATACAGGTAAATTTTAACTAGTATTTCATTTAGTGATATTTATCCTAAAGTATCTTAACTATAATTAATTTTTTGACTTTTGGTTATGCTACCATAATAAGTATTTTTTGTTTTACGATACCACCATTTTAGAAAGAAAAATATTAAGAGATTAGTAAAATTTAATGCATTAACTGATTTCCTCAATTTGTGGGAAGATAACTTCTTTTGCTTATATATGAGAACATATTATAGTGTTATTAAAATTGATGCTTAGTATGTTTAATTTGTTTCAGGCTTCTCACTCCTCCTGGTACTCCTCTTTTCCCTTCTTTGGAAATGGAAAGTCGGAAGACTGTTATGAGTCAGCTTGGTACTCCAACCACACGTCCTGTAGCATTAAAATCCAGGGTAAGCATTTCAGTGAAGCTTTCAGATTATGTGATTTATTTTATTCATAGTGGGTGAATGTCTTTTTATGTCTGGTTTGAAAATGGAGTGCTACTTTTTCCTTGTAATTTTTGGTCTCAGAAATTTTATCATTATTATTATGCTGTATACATGATGAATGTGGTCTGGACTTTCAGCAAAAGTAGTTGATATGCTTAACACGTGATCAATATTTTGGGTTAGTGATGACTTACTAGATATGATTTGTTATCATTTTCTGCCTCTCGTAAAAATAACGCCCTTGGCCTATATGAAAATAGTTTTTCGTCATATTACATTGTTTACATATTTTCCACAACATGCTTTGGTTGGGGTCTGTTGAAATATAATGTCTTTATTATTACTCTTCAAGTGGGTCTAACTTCTAAGATTCACATTGCGTTGAATATGTATCAAGACTTTTAGATTCAGGTAAATTGTCCATTATTTTTATTAAACTTTATATGATGATAAAAATGATAACACTCTTTGATTGTTGTTGTCACTGATCTCTCTCTCAGTGAGAATTGGCTTGGCTGTTGTTAGTGTCAGGATTTCAATATATTTTTATTCCTTCCTTGTGGTTATAGTTAGCAAATCATCAGTCAGAGCCTGCTGGGAGGACTAATTTTGTATCTAAACAACCTGCTTCTTCTCCTGGGTTGAGCTCTTCAAGTGGGGGAACCAGGAGGCCTTCATCATCAGGGGGTCCGGGATCACGACCTGGAACTCCTTCTGGGCGCCCTACACTAACTGCATCTTCAAAATCATCAAGACCTTCAACACCTACACGGTCCACCTTACCTTCAACTAGGTCCATGGCAGCTGCATCCAAGAACACAGTTTCCACAACCAAGCCTGCAGTTTCTACCTCAAAGCCTTTGAGTTCTGCCGCTAAGACTCCAGTCCCAGCCGCTAAATCCACAATTCCTTCAAGATCCTCTACGCCCATGTCAAGATCTGCTGCAAGATCTTCTACGCCTACTAGCAGACCCACTTTACCTCCATCCAGGTCCACATCAAGAGCATCTACCCCAACCCGGCGACCCTCATTACCATCAAATGAACCCATCATATCTGCTTCTTCAGTTAAAGCTTCTTTGAGCCCCAAGCCAAGTACTGTGACGTCAAGGCAGCCAACTCCTCTGACAACAAGAAAGCCAGTTCCTGTGAACTCAAGGCAGCCAGCAGTACCATCCCGTGGCAGTTCACCAACAGTGAGATCAAGACCATGGAAGCCGTCTGACATGCCAGGCTTTTCACTTGATGCCCCACCTAATTTGAGAACAACATTACCTGATAGGCCTCTGTCAGCAACTAGGGGCAGACCTGGCGCACCAACTTCTCGGTCTTCATCTGTTGAGCCTTCTTCTAGTGGAAGACCCAGGCGACAGTCATGCTCTCCTTCAAGAGGACGGACTTCCAATGGTGGTGTTCATATCAGTGGAAACTCTATGCCGGCAGTTAGTCGTGGGCGCTCCAAAGTAAATGACAATGTCAGTCCCGTTGTAATGGGCAACAAAATGGTTGAGAGGGTAATAAATATGCGAAAACTAGCACCGCCAATGATTGATGACAAAAACTCTCCGCGTAGTAATCTGTCCGGCAAGTCAACCTCATCTCCAGATAGCTCAGGTTTTGGAAGAACACTTTCAAAGAAGTCGTTGGATATGGCGATTAGGCATATGGTGAACATCCTCTCTGCATCCTATTTATTGTCTTTCCTGATGAAAATAACTTACCATGCCATACGTGCATATAAATAATTTTTTATGATTGCTAATCATCTGTTCTTGATGCGTGCTGTAATTCAATTTTCTTATTTAGTGCCTTCACCGGACAGCAAATGATTTTAATTGTTTTATCTGTTGAATAGGATATAAGGAGAACCATTCCAGGCAATTTACGGCCATTGATGACAAATATTCCTGCATCTTCTTTGTATAGCGTGAGGTCTGGATCTCATCATGGCCGAACAATCAGTGTTTCAGGCTCTCCACATGCCACAAGCAGTAATGCTAGTTCTGAACTGAGCGTGAACCAGAATGGAATTTGTTTAGATAGCAGTGAAGTAGATGACGATATTGGCAGTGAGAGATGTGGTCAATCCCCTGCTAGTGTTCGGGGAAGGTAAACCTTTTGCACTTCGGGGAATTCTGCGTATTTAAATAGCACCAGTTTTCTTATCCTAGTTTCAGCCGTAGCGGATTTGCGTTGTAGATCAGCTAACCACGCTTGTACTAATTAATGTAAAGCTTCTTGGAAGCGATGTAACCTCGTGTAATGGGAGGTACTCTGATTTTAAGTTAGATGATGGGTTATCTGTTGTAGCGGTAATGCTCATTTTTTGAAACAAACCGAGGTTTCTCCTCCATTTATGAAAATTGAGCTTAGTATCTGGAAACGGTAAGCCAGATCATATCCTATGTCATTTCAATGTAAATGATTCACAAATTCGCATTAGGCTTCACTTTCTTTCTTTCCTTTTTTTTTTAATTGACAGCTTTATAAGCATAAGAATGCAATGGATGAAAAATAAGAATTTGCCAAACAACATTTCTTAAAAGTTAACTATTGAGGCTTGTTCATATGTGTTGACTATCATTAAACGAGTTGTACTCATTAAAATAAATTAAAGTGGATATTGTAATTACTTCATATAATATTCAGAACTAAATAAAAAAGACAGATAAAGAAAATTAAATCGTAATACAAGGACGAAAAACAACCAACCGAGTTAAATGAAAATTTATTTTAGATACAAAAAAACTAAGCAAAAGTTCTTTAAGAGATAAAATCAAAATATGATTGTATTTTAAGAACTGAAAATACATTTTAGATAAAATGTTTGAAAAAGTAAAAATCAAAGTCGTATGTACAAAATTCGTCTCTGGTTTTAAAACAAAAAATATATAAAGAACATGCAACTTTAACGAAAAACATATATATTGTTACCAAATTATTTTTGTATTAAATATATAAATGATTTAATATTTGTTTTTAAATGCTATTAATTAATAGGAAATATTTATTGTCATCCGGATGAGTTATAGAACTGAGCAATCACTATTTTTCTTTAAGGAATGATAAACATACACCTCCATGTGGATATATCTATTCTGCACTTTTACAAGTTAAAAATTATTATAATTATTTTTTAATTTCATATATGAACCAATGTGTAAATTGTAACAAATCCAAGCATTACATAAGACCTTCTAAAATCTTTATAATCATCATCAACCTTGAGATAATGAAAAATCAATTATTTTCTGATTATGATGGAGAGATATGGTGTCGTAATTTTTTTTTTCAACACCATAACATTTTAGTTAAATCAGTGTAATGTTTTGATTAAATTAATATAATTGTAAATTAAATATAAATAAGTAGTGTCAATTCGATGTATACGTGAGATACATCTATCACAACTCTTTTACCTTTTTTTCATGAGCTGTAATATAGATAATTAAGTAGAAAAATGATTCATGGATGAAAAAAAATATTTCAAGACTTAATATAAACATGAGAGTAAAAATATAGATTTATAGGTTATATAATGTGACAAGAGAAAGATAAAAAGAAAAATTAAATGTATATAAATATGTATGTATATCATTATTTAATGAGTATAAAAAGTAATACTTTCACACACAATTTTTTACATTAATTTAATATTATATTTTTTATTTTTTTAAAAGTATATAAATGTTCTCTTTTATTATTATTTTATCTTTATATCATGTTTGAAATAAATAAAGATAAATGTGTGTCTTCCTCCTATTATTCATTAAATAATCTACTCTACAAAAGTACCTGAATTCTATTTTGCGGAAAACAAAAGCTTCAGGTATACATCATGGCATAAAATTCATACCACAACGTGAAAATTAAAAAAGATAGCCATGATGTTGTAACGATTGAATGTTGGCGTGCAAGAGTGTGATGCGTATAGATTCGAACAAGAAACTGATTTCATTCCACAAATGAAAATTGAATTTAAAGAAAACACAGCTATCTGAATGAAGTTTAAATTTGGAGGTTTATGAGGTTTGTAATCAGGAAGTTGACGTAAGAATTTGCTTATGAGTATATTATTGAGGAGATGTTTGAATTCCATGATGAACAAAAGCTGACTCAGCCAAGTCAATAGCACGAGCAAGAGCAGCAGCTTTGTTCTGACACTCTTGGTACTCATCAGCAGGAACACTATCAGCAACAATACCAGCGCCAGCTTGAAGATAAGCAACCCACTCCTGACGTTGGTGGAGATTTCGGTCATACGTTCTTGTCGGAATTACCATTGTCCTTAGAGCAAGGGCAATGTCCATCTCCCCAAAGAAAGATATGTATCCAAATCCTCCACCGTAAGGCCCTCTCCTTGTCACCTCCATCTTATCGATCAACTCCATCGCCTTCACCTGCATCGATCCACCATCCATTGCATTAGATAATCTTCCTATCTCAACCAAAATCACCTCAAACTTACACTAACCTTTGGTGCTCCACTCACGGTTCCAACCGGCAATGCAGAACGCAGCACATCCCAGCAACTCAAATGTTCTTGCATCTCTCCCGTTATCTGCAGTAAATAATCAAACTTTTATGCTGAAATATGAACACTCAATTCAATACTCACTTAGTTCAATACCAACAAGCACTTTACTTACCGTTGAGCTTATGTGCATAACATGGGAATATCGTTCGATATTCATAAGTTGCTCCACTTTCACAGAACCAGATTTTGCAACCTACAAAAAGTCATCATTTTTTTCAGAAGGTTTAATGTCTCGGTAGGTCCCTATTTTCGGCGTGAATCTCAAATAGGTCCCTTTTCTTTTCGGCGTCTCAATTGGGTCCCCATTTTTGTAAAATTGTAACAATTAGGGGTCTGCCGTCAAATTGGACAAACGGCCGTTTAATTGTTTCTTACGTGGCATGAACAGTGTTTTCAGTAATGACACGTGGCATGATTCCCATCTGACACGTAAGAAACAATTAAACGGCCGTTTGTCTAATTTGACGGCAGACCCCTAATTGTTACAATTTTACAAAAATGGGGACCCAATTGAGACGCCGAAAAGAAAAGGGACCTATTTGAGATTCACGCCAAAAATAGGGACCTACCGAGACATTAAACCTTTTCAGAACTATCACAAGTACCAGATAAAACATCTTTTCAGAATGTCGGAGTAAATTACTTTCTAACAGCATTATCCACTAAAATGACTATGTATAACAAACCTTTCCAACATCATTGCGTCCCAAATCAACCAACATTACATGCTCTGCTCGTTGCTTTTCGTCTTTCAGCAACATTTCTTCTAACCTCGCGTCTTCTTCAGGTGTATTGCCCCTTCTGGTTGTCCCAGCCAAAGGACGATTCACAATCTTATTCTGTTCATGAAAAAAATTCTTAATACCCCAATTGTATTAAAAAAAATCAGATTAATCTAGCAAACCTAATATGATTTTGTTTAATTTATTTTATAGATCAAATAGATGTGCATAATTCTACCTTCTTTATACGAGTAAGAATCTCTGGACTTGAAGCAACCAGAATACACCCCCTAGCCTGTTTAGGAAATACATAATCATCAGAAGAGGAAAAATAAAAACAAAAAACTTTCTTGAATGAAGGATGCACAGAAATAAACCTGCAAATAGGCCATATATGGACTTGGGTTCACAACTCTCAGTGCTCTGTAAATTTCAAATGGATCAGCAAATGTTCTTCGTTCAAATCTCTGACTTAACACAATCTGGAAAATATCCCCTGCATTAATGTGTTCTTTGGCCCGAAGGACTGCTTCCTTGTATGCTTCAGTTGTCATGCTCGACTTCTTCAAAGGTGGACCAAAATGGTGAGTGTGTAAATCCACAAAGCCTGGCTCCAGCCTTCGACTGAGAAATACCCATTTTAATCATAACATGAACATCTTCAAAGAGAGAAACGACAGACACAAATGACTTACGCTTTAACATCTTGTAATTTGGCAGCTAATTTTTCTAATTTTTCCATTCCATCATTGTAAGCACTCTCAACCGTGGAGTAGCGATCAATCCTCACCCATTGAATCAAATATGCTTTCTGTTATCAGTTATGAATTAGTCCTAAATACAACCAACCCATATCAATGCAATTACATGATGCAATCCTAACATTTTGTAGAAGTGCGTGAATCGAGTTTTTGTTGAAATGATAAGAGGATATACTGCAAATTTCGACATCAGAAATGGAAGAATTACCAAGGTAGATACCAACATTGAGACAGCATTTTTAAAGGTACCTTTTCGACATGGTCAAACACAATGACACTCTCGTAGAGGCCCAGATGCATGTCCCAAAAGTTCTTATCATTCGATGGAGCATTTAAAAATGATAGTTTTTTCTTTTCCACATAACGAACTGTATCGTATGAGAAAAAACCTGCCCAACCACCTAGAACAGTAGCTTCAATAGTTAATGTACAATGGATCAATTACAAAACCAAAATCTCTTAATCGTCTTAAACCAAACAAATCAAAATCAGAAAATACAAATCTTAAGGATTTTTTTTTTGTTTTCAATAAACTGTTTGTGTCTGATAATTTGGTACACTTCGATTAAATTAAATTATTTTAAGTGGTCGTTAAAATTTTATAGTATTTTATTTTAACGGTTAGAAAAAATAAATATTTTACGTATTAGTCTTGATGTTATTTCTATGTAGATGGTGTAATGGATTTTCTGTAAAATACTTGTAATTTAATGTTGATTTATTTTATTTTATCGATGAGGCTTGGATAAAGAGTGAAACTTTGATATGCAAATGGGTAATTTAATTATCTAAGTTTGATCATTATAGGGTACGTAAATAACTATTTTAGCTCTTTTTGAAAGATATTTCATTGATTTTAAAGTGACTAAAATAATTTAAATTTTAAAAAAAAATGGATTTGATGATAGAACATGTTTCTATAGATTGGATTTTATAGAAAAGGGTTAATTTGGTTATGTTGTATGCATAGTATGAATTAAAAGGTGTTTTAATTCATTTTATAATATGGATAATTAAGAAGTAATTTAAATTATGGTATGGTGTATTTCCATTGTAGAAAAAAAATAAGTAATTTATTTTCAGTCCAAATGAGAATAAAATAATACACGAGTGTCGTTGTTTGAGTGTGAATGGTTAATTAGTGCATGTTACTTCATATTATTGTTGCATGTTACTTTGTTATAGTAAAAATATTATGAAAATAGAATTTATAGTGATTACGGTTACTGTATTAAACATTGAATGGAAAAAAACTCAAGGCAATTAAAAACACAAACAATGGATGATAACAAAATATCACATAAATAAAGTTTAACAACAAATCATTTACTAGTTTTTTCTAGCATTATAAATTGACTTAAATTAATAAATTATAAGTTTCGACCATTTTCTATATGATTTGAGAAGATGCTAAACAATGCAACACTAATAGATTAAACTCTATAATTAAGTTTTACATGATTTTAAGAAAGTTATATGTTTAACAAATTTAATATCTCTTAAAGGGCATTGTATAACTTAAAAAATGCATATGTTGATATGGTGAAATAAATTATGAGTATTAAATAAAGTTACTTATGCAGGATTAATATAATTAGATTTTTAAAATACTAGTATATTTGGATATATTTCCATGATTACATTAACAAGAAGGATTATAAAGGTGTAGTACGATTTATACAAATATAGATAGAGTTTCAATCTTATGAGTTAATCTATCTCAATTCAAGTTGGGGCTTAGAAAAAATTAAAATTTTTTAAATATAAATTAAATTGACTTAACTCACATATTAAATTGGTTAAGCTAGAAAGGATGAGTTGAATTGTAACTCACCACCAATAATTTTATTATTATTTTTATTATAATTATTTATTATTTTTAATTATGTAAGTTGATAATTCGATTTTTTTTATTGTAATGTTATTAAATCATATTTGATTAGTTTTGGTGTTTAATTTATTTGTTTGCATACAAATTGATATTTTAATTTTTAAATATTATTTTTATAATAATATTTGATAAAATAGATAAATACTTTGATTGTATTACTATAAAAAAGTAAATTTGAATGTACAAATATATAAAAGAAATTAAAATAACAAACCATTCTTAAATGAGTCAATAGACTAAACCACATGTTAGGTTGAATCGAGCTGACTTAATTTTTGTTTAATTTGTAATGAGTTAATAAGGTGTGTTGGATTGGCTGATTTCAAAATCTTATCTTAAGAATTTTTTTTTCTGATTTACTATATAAATATTGTATTAAATTTTACTAATTTAGATATAACTCATATAGTTTGCTACATAAATAAAATTTTATGTATTATACGAAGAAAGAAGACTCCAAGAAATTATTATATATACTTACTTTAATCTTTTGAAATATGTTTGTGATTGTTATATATTTTGTTATTTATTATATTTCAAATGATTAAATTCTTTATTTTATTAATTAGATTATTTTGAGAGGTGGTTATAAACATATTTTAGTAACTTATCTTCTAAGATGTTTTAAGAAATCATTTTTATTATGGTATAAGACAAAATCTTTGTTAATAAAGTTAATTTTCGCAACTCTTCTACTTGCTAATTTGGGATTATAGCAAAAACGCTTTAGTTTTATTATTCCATTTTTATTGGAATAAAATAGGAATGATATAGAATGGATTTCATAAGTTTGAAACTGAATTTAGTAGATAGATCATTTTCTAATTAAAATTAAAATAAAAATCGTTTTTTTTTATTGAAGTGTTTGGAAGATACACATGTGAAAAAAATATAATAATTTCAATCATCAACCCTTGTAATTAAATTTTCAGTTATTGTTTGTAATGAAATAACAATATTTCAGTTTATTCAATTAAATACATTAATGAATTAAAAATTTCAAATTATTTACATAACAAAGTAAATTTTTAATTAAATGTTTATAATTACAAAGTAATGATATATTGACAGTAATAGATTTAGACAAAGTATTGGTTCTCCAACTTTTTTTATAATTACAAAATTTTACTTTGCTTTTTAATAATTACATCACCATTAAATCCGATGGTAGAATTGTTCTATAGAAGTTTCCAAATCAGTGTACTATTATATTTATAATCAAAACATGTAATAATATTATAATATAATATGGGTAAATGGAATCATCAATATATCTTTCTTTCTTAAGAAGTTTGTATAATAATATTATAATATAATATGGGTAAATGGAGTTATCAATATATCTTTCTTTAGAAAGTTTGTATGTAAAACAAAAGTGAAAGATGATATGCTATGACAAAGCCAACATTAATGCATGATTATAAAAAAGATGATAAAGTCAGAGAATTTTACCACAAAATGCATCAGGAAGTTCATCTATTAGATAGGGTTTCCAACCCTCTGAGATTTCTCTCGGAATCATGATAGGATCATCAACCGTTTTATCAGATAAAGTTCCAGCTACATGATCAATAATCACAACCTTGTTTTCTTTTGCCAGAACCTCCATTGCAGGATGAGCTCCAACAACACTATAGCGCCCCTACAATCAAGAAATTCAAGCAAAACATATCACAAATTCAAAATCATCAAACTGCTAAAAGCTTACTCACCACATCACAACTTAATTCATCAGACTCAAAGAGAAAGCTTGGAGCCTCCCTATCATCGTCTTCAAGCAAAATCTGGTGAGCAACGACCGGAGTAAGGTGGTCGGAGAAAATGCACTGATAGAGAGGAATCAAATTCGCCTTCTTTGCAGCCTCTTCAAACTTTGTTCCTTACCAAATGCAAAATAAAAAAAAGTAAATTATCCATCATACATGTTTAGTCCAAAAGATTATGACTTGATGATCAGTCTACAAACCCATTTGTCATGTTTTCCTTAAGAGTGAAAGCACCACAAAATACCCATTCAGACGTAGTAGAATGTATTCAAACATGGAACAATAGTAAATCTTTATAAAAGATAGTCACCTTTTGTCATTCTTCCTACAATTTAACGTGGGAATCTGGGATCAAGATTACCAAAAAAAACACTTACGATGGGAAGAATTTTTTAGGGAAGAGCACCTCAACGTGAAAGGAGCGCGTGAGAAGGATATGCCAGTGAGTGAAACCGGAGAAAAACGGCTTCCGGGGGGAACCACGCGCCGGGAGAAAGATAGAGGGGCATTTGCAGGAGTGGCGGAAGTAAGAGACATTGGAATTGTAGCAGAAAACATCTTTGTAAACTCTGTTACTTTAACAACTTCTGCTTCTAATTTTAGCGTGTTCACAATGAATATTTTCCTCCCTAATTTTTAGGATAATCATGTTGAACTTTTCTTTTTTGCGAAAGGTCGGAAATAATTTTCAATATGTTTTGTCCACTATTATATTTATATTTAATGTTTATTATTATAAACATTGTTTGTATTTTAATTCTAATGTGAGAAAATACTAATTTTCCATGTTTAGCTTATCATTCTTTCTCTAACAATCATAGTGAACAAAAATCTTATTCACAACCCAGTAGTATTTTTAGATGCGTTTCAAAATTTGGGCAACAAGCTTACTTGTTATTATTTATTTATTTTATTTCTAAGAATAAAATTATACCAACATATTCCTTGCAATTTTTACTAAAGCTATTAATATATTTTTGTATTAACTAAATCCAGACCCTTCAAAAAGAGATATAAATCCTTAGTCTAAGTCACCGTACGAAAAATACATTACTAAAAAGTTCAAACTATCTTTTCAAAATATTCTTTTTATTAACAATGTAAACATAAAAGTTATTATAAAACTATAGACTAATGATTTATATATCTCCTCTGAAGGATCTTAATTTATAGTTAATAAAAACATACTGATAACTTTAGACATTACATTGCATTGAATATGAAACTATTATTAATAATACTAATAAACCTCTATAATCAATAATAAAAAATTATATCCTCCATCAAAATAAATAAATTCGTAAAGCTTTCTGTTTTGAATTTTCATTATTTTCTATTTATGGCTTTTATATTTAACTTCATTATTTTAAGTTTTTCATTTTGAAAGAAAAAAAAACGTTTATTTACACAGTGGAGAAAGGTGCAAAATTGGGAAAGTTGAAAGGCAAAATATGCAAAAGCAAAATAAAATGGAATGACAAGATGTGTCTAAGAAAATAAGTTAAAATGCATAATTTAATTTTTGCGACAGAGTAGTGTATTGGTAAGGTCCATAAGTTTGTATGCAAAGAAGCAGTGATTAATTATTATCAACAAATGAGGACTCAGCCAAGTCAATGGCACGAGCAAGAGCAGCAGCTTTGTTTTGACACTCTTGGTGTTCATCTTCAGGAACACTGTCAGCAACTATACCAGCACCAGCTTGAAGGTAAGCAATCCACTCGCGCCGCTGGTTGAGATCTTTGTATGAGTACATTGTGTCATACCTTGTTCCTGTCGGAAATACCATTGTCCTCAGAGCAAGAGCCACATCCATCTCGCCGGAGAAACATATGTATCCAAATCCTCCGCTGTAAGGCCCTCTTCTTGTCACCTCCAACTCATCAATCAACTCCATCGCCTTCACCTTTGGTGCTCCACTCACAGTTCCCACTGGCAATGCACTACGCAGGGCATCCCAGCTACTCAAATGCTCTTGCAACTCTCCACTTACCGTTGAGCTTATGTGCATCACATGGGAGTATCGTTCGATATTCATAAGTTGCTCCACTTTCACAGAACCACTTTTCGCAACCTACCAAAGGCAATTCTTGTTTTCAAAACCAAAACTTTGTTACCCATAAAGTTTTTATTAAAATGAATATGTAAGACAAACCTTTCCAACATCATTGCGTCCCAAATCGACCAACATGACATGCTCAGCACATTGTTTTTCATCTTTCAGAAGTAATGATTCTAACTTTGCATCTTCTTCCGGTGTTTTTCCCCTTCTAGCTGTCCCAGCCAATGGACGGTTCACAATCTTATTCTGTTTCAGAAAAAAATAATAATAATAATAATAAAAAAAAAAATAACTATCTGCTAGTAATTTAATATAACCAAGAGAGTAGTATAATTTAATTGAAAAATTTATAACATATAAGGAACATACCTTCTTTATACGCGTAAGAATTTCTGGACTTGAAGCAACTAAAATACATCCCCTGGCCTGTTTAGCAAACAGATTGTCATCAAAAGATGATAGGAGTTGAGCCCACAAAACCTTCTTAAGCAATTTAAGATGTTACACAATGATAAACCTGCAAATAGGCCATATATGGACTTGGGTTCACCACTCTCAATGCTCTATAAACTTCAAATGGATCGGCAAATGTTCTTCGCTCAAATCTCTGACTTAACACAATCTGGAAAATATCCCCTGCTTTAATATGCTCTTTTGCCTGAAGTACTGCCTCCTTGTATGCTTCTTTAGTCATGCTTGACCTCTTTAATTCTGGACCAAAATGGTGAGTCTGTAAATCCACAGAGCCTGGAGCCAATCTTGGACTAGGAAAACCACACTTTAAATTAATTTTGTCTCAATCATAACATGTATATCATTAGAGAGAAAAGTAATAGATTACTTACGGTTGGCCATGTTGTAATTTGGCCACCAATTTTTCTAATTGTTCAGTTCCATCCTTATAGGCCCTCTCAACTGAGGAGTACCTATCAGTTCTTACCCAAAGAATCACATATGCTTTCTGTTACATATAATACGAGTATCAAATCAAAATTGAAGTCATAATTAGTCTTAAATGTAATCCATATCAATGCAGTTAAATAACACTGAAATAATTGGAGAGTCATTTTACAGTATTTACCCTTTAAATATATCTCCAAAGATGTAAAAGTCATGTTTGTGAACACTAAAAAGTGATTCAATGAAAAAAATTCAATCAAACAATAAAATAAAAAGAATATAACATTTTGTTTATGAAGCATCTGAATTGACTTTTTCTCTAAATGATTAAGAAACTGTCTTGTGAGAAATACCAAACTAGATGGAATATACATTATTTGTGAAGAGAAAAAAAGTACCTTTTCCACATGGTCAAATACAATCACACTCTCATATAAACCAAGATGCATGTCAGCAAGGTTTCTATCATCCTTTGGAGCATTTGAGAATGGTAACTTTTTCTTTTCCACATAACGAACTGTGTCATAAGAGAAATAGCCAGCCCAGCCACCTAGACAAGCAGTTGAAACAATATTTAGATAAAAGAAAAAATGCTTCATAGTTAGAATCCTCTGCCTCAAACACAAGTCCATGTGTGTGCATGCACATACATCGTGCAAACAAATATGGGAAATAATTCACCTAACTACAGATAAGTCAAGATTCCAATAACAGAATCTTCGTCATCTAAAACCTCTAGAATTCAGAAGAAGAAACTATATAAAAGAATAATACAAGGCAATTTAATGTGCATGCACACATACATGTGCATGCAAACAAACACATGTATATGCCTAACATGAACAAGTCAATATTCTAATAACAGAATCTTAATCATGTAAAATCTCTAGATTTCAGAAGCAGATACTATATAAAAGCATAAACTACAAGGCAATTTAATGTGCATCATGCAAACAAACACATGTACATGCCTAACCACGAACAAGTCAGGTTCTAATAACAGAATCTTAATCGTGTAAAATGTCTAGATTTCAGAAGCAGATACCATATAAAAGCATAAACAACAAAGGCGATTTAATGTGCATGCAAATTCGGTCACCTAAATTCGGATAAGTCAAGATTCTAATAACTGAAACTTAATCATCTAAAACCTGTAGATTTTAGAAGCAGATACTATAGCACAAAGGACAAGTCGATTTAATGTTTTCTTCTATCTTAAGATCTTTTGTCATTGTAAATACCCCACGTATATGTCAATGCTATTGTATTCATAAATAAATTATAACACAAAATAAAATACCTTTCAACCTTATAATTTCATATCAACACTCTTACCACAGAATGCATCCGGAAGTTTATCAATGAGACAGGGTTTCCAGCCCTCTGAGATTTTTTTCGGAACCATTATAGGATCATCAACATTTTTCTCTATTAAATTTCCAGATTCATGGTCAATTATGGTAACCTTATTTTCTTTGGCCACAACTTCCATGGTTGGGTTAGCTCCCACAACACTATAGCGTCCCTGCAATCAACCAATCCAGTCTAGAATATTAATAAAGACACATTCAACTCAACAATTTTATATCATAAAACCACCAAAAGCACACTCACAACACTTGAAGCATGATAGCTAGGCTCTGCAGACTCAAAAAGAAAACTTGGACCCTCTCGATCATCTTCCTTGACTAAAATTCGGTAAGCAAGAACAGGAGTAAGCTGGTCAGAGAATATACACTGACAGAGTGGAATCAAGTTCCCATTCTTTGAAGCTTCTATAAACTTTGTTTCTTCTTCAACTGAAAAAAGTAGTATCCATGCCACACGTTTAGCCCGACATTATAAAAAAAGTTACAATCAATAATAACAAGAACAGTTAACCAAATGCTCATGAATGGCAGCCTCAAAGTTATCCAAAGATTCTTTCATTCATCTAAAATTAATCAAACATAATTATATTTCATAAGATACTCTACCCATCTATGATTTAGCACAGTATATCAAAAGTTTATTCAAACATAGAGAAAAGATTTAAGTCTCCATTGACAAAATCAAAAGTTTGCTAGCACCCTTACAGTGGATGGAGATAAAGAAAATCAGAAAGGATGATAGTGGTTTGTTTGAGCTGAGTTGGAAGGATTGGTGAAGAAAGTTTTGTGGACTCCATTGACTATTGAGAAAGATGAGGAAAGTCTCAGTCTGTTTGTGTTGATGTGAGAGAAAAAACCATTACTGATATGTCTTTTCACCTTCTTTCATTGTAAATAACAAATAATTAAAAATAATAAATAAAACTATTAATATCAACGGTTTCTTCATCAATCCTTTTCTTTCTTCCTTGTGTCCTTCTTCTTCAACAAACAGTCCATAAAACTTTTCATTTAAGATATTAGCTCAATTATCCTTTTTTTCCAACAGATAAGTAAAGATAAAAAAATATATTTTCAAATCACCATTTTTTATTGAGAATGAAAGATTGAACCTTTAAGAACAAGATAGCAACCCTTCTGTCATTCTGCCTGTAATTTCATGTGGGGAACTCAAAACAAGACTACCCAAAGAAAAAAAAAAAAAACACTCACCAGCATAAGAGCTTGGAAATGAAGAACACCTCCACTTGAGAGGAGCGCGTGAAGATGAAGCGCCCGTGAATGTTACCGGATAAAGAACCTTACCGGAAGGAACAATGTGTTGGGAGAAGGCTAGGGGGGCCTTTGCAGGCATGACTGCTGTAGGAGACATTGAAAATGTAACAGAGAGCATGCTTCGAATTCAGGTACTGCCACCACTTCTAGTTCTAATTCTAATGCTCAAAAAATTTGTGTATTCTCTGAATAAATTAAAAACTTAGTGGTATATATATAAATAAACAAACAAATATATATATATACATGTATATATATATATATATATATATATATATATTTGTTTGTTTATTTTTTTATGTTACAAGTTCCAATGTTATTTAAGACTTGCTTCAGTTACAGAGCATTTAATTTTATTTAATATGCAATTGAACCTTTCCATTTGTTTTCCTTTATAATGATAGCACAAGTACATGCAGTGCAATGGTAGTGCAGGTGATTCAATTATCCTATATTATATCTATTATTTATTATTATATTTATATATATCATAAATGCGAAGAACAAATAATATATTTATGAATGTATTAAGTTTATAAGAATTGAGTTTAATATTAGATATGAATGCATTAACATCTTTTCTTTTGATATATAAAGAATACAAAGTAACAGATTTGTTTGTTTGGACATATGGTGTGTATAAAGTAATTGATTGGTTTGGGATTTACATTTGTTTTGAATTTAATTATTATTCTATTCTTATTTGTAAAATTTTAAATTAAATGTTA